CCCTTCAGCCTCCAACACTCTAGTGAAAACAGTCCAAGTTTGTCCAATCTCTCCCAATAGCTAATACCCTCCCATTTGGGCAACATCCCAGTAAATCTCTTCTGCGTCCTTTCCTAAGTCTCTGCATCCTTCCTATAGTGTGGCAACCAGAACCGCACACAACACTCCAAATGAGGCCTAACTAAAGTATTATATAGCTGCAACAACGTTTATACTCATTGCACCGACCAATGAAGGCAAGCATATCATACGCCTACTTTCACTACCTTATCCACTTGTGTTGCCACTTTCAGGGAGCTATGGACTCGCACCACAAGATCTCTCTGTATATCAATGCTTCCTAAGCATCCTGCCATTTAATGCCTACTTTTCTCTTGCATTTGACCTCCCAAAGTGCATCACCTCATACTTGTCCAGATTAAACTCTGACTGCTATTTCTCAGAGTTCTGAGAAAAGGGCACCAGACTTGAAACATTAACTCTGACTTTTTTTCTTCACTGATGCTGCCAGACTTGCTCAGCTTTTCCAGCAACTTGTTTTTGTTCCTGCTATTTCTCCACCCAACTTTCCAACTGATCTAGATCCTACTGTATCCTTGACAATCTTCTTCACTATCTAAATTGCCATCAATTTTTGTGTCATCTACAAACTTACAAACAGACCACCTACATTTTCATCAAATTATTTCTATCAATTACAAACAACAGAGATCCCAACACTGATCCTGTGGAACACCACTGGTTGCAGACCTCCAGTCTGAAAAACATCCCTCCAAAACAACCCTCTGTCTTCAATGACCAAGCCAATTTTGTACCCAACTTACTAACTCACCGTGGATCCCATGCAACCTAATTTTCTCAACCAGCCTACCATGAAGAACCTTGTCAAATGCTTTAGTAAAGTCCATGCAGACTACATCCATTGCCCTACCCTCAATCACCTTCATCAGTTCCTCAAAAAACTCAATCAAATTTGTGAGACAATACCTCCTCTGCAAGCTACGCTGTCACTAATAAGTTCATTCTTTTCCAAATGTGAGTAAATCCTGTTCCAAAGAATGTTGTCCAAAATTTCCCTACCACTGATGTAAGCCTCACTGGCCTATAACTTTCTGGATTATCCCTGTTGTCCTTCTTATAAAAAGGAACAACATTGGCTATTCTCCAGTCTTCTGGGACTTTGCCCATGGCCAAAGAGGATACAAAGATCTCTGTCAAAGCTCCTACAATCTCCTCCCTTGCCTCCTTCGGCATCATGGGATAGATTCCATCAGGCGCTAGAGACATATCTAGATTAATGCTTTTCAAGACACCCAAAATCTCTGCCTTCTTAATACAGACAATCCCTAGAATATCAACATACCTCTTCTGTAATCTTATCATCTATGTCTTTCTCTTTGGTGAAAACTAATGCAAAGTACTTATTAAGGACCTCATCCACTTTGTCTGACTCCTTGCATAAATTAAGTTTTTGTTCTTTACTGAACCTACTCTTTCTCTAGCTAGCCTCTTGCTCCTAGTATATAAAATGCCTTGGTATTCAACTTAATCTGACTTGCCAAGGACACTTCATGAATCCTTTTAGCCCTCCTAAATTCCTTGTTGAAGTTCTTTCTGCTTCCTTTGTATTCATCAATAGCCTTTTCCGGTTTCAGTTTCCTAAACTTATATATGCTTCCTTTTCCTTTTTGACTAAACTTTCAATATCACTCAACAACAAAAACAGAAGTTGCTGGAAAAGCTCAGCAGGTCTGGCAGCATCTGTGGAGAGAAATCAGAGTTAATATTGCAGATCCAGTGACCCTTCCTCAGAACCGCTTGTCTTCCAGGGATCCCGAATCTTGCCATCTTTATTGTTCACTCTCATTGGAATGTGCTGGTCCTGAACTCTGATCAACTGACCTTTAAAAGACTCCAACATGTCAGATGTGGATTTATGTTTGAACAGTCACCCCCAATCTAATTTTTCCAGTTCCTGACTAATGCTGCTGTAATTAGCCTTTGCCCACTTTAGCATTTTCACCTGACGACCAGACTCATCCTTATCTATTAATATCTCAAAACGTACGGAATTATCATTATTTTCCCAAAATGCTCCCCCACTGAAACTTCGATCACCCAATCATGCTCATTCCTCAATACAAGGTCTAGTATGGCCCCTTTCCTAGTCAGACTATTTACATATTGTGTCAAGGAACCTTCCTGGATGCACCTAACAAATTCTGCTCCAGCTATGCCCCTGGACCTAAGAGCACCCAGTCAATTTTGGGGACACTGAAAGCACCCATACAACCACCTTGTTCTTTCTACATCTTTCCGAAGTCCAAAGATGTGCAGGTTAGGTGGATTGGTCATGGTAAATTGTCCATAGTGTCTAGGGATGTGCAAACTAGGCGAGTTAGCCATGGTAAATGAGGGGTTATGGGGATAGGGTGGAGTTATACATCTGGGTGGGATACTCTTCAGAGGGTTGGTGTGGGCCTGATGGGCCGAATGGCCTCTTTCCGCACTGTAAGGATTCTATGATTCTATATCTACTTGCACATCTGTTTCTCTACCTTCCTCCTTAGTTGGAGCATGCAGTGTGCGTCCTGAAGTCACCATTGCAGTGAGACAGACTGGGAAGAGTAACGTGCAATCAGTTGTTGAGTTGTGAGGCTTAACTTGATTACTTGAGGTGTCTTATTTTGGTTGCTACATGCAATAAAGTTTAAATCATTGTTTCAAAGCTTGATGGTCTATGAGATTTCTTAATAAGTAGCTGAATTAAAGGAAACTTCTGGTGATTTACCCACAACATACCTATTTAAAAGAGAGACGAGGAAACATTTTTCCTGAGTGTGTCGAGTGTCTTTTGAATTCCTGTCCTCAAAAAGAGGTGGATGCAGAATTGAAAAATATTTTTAAGGCAGAGACATGTAGGCACTGGATTACTGAGGGGATGAAAGATTATCAGGGAAATGCAAGAATGTAGAGTTGACTTTCAAATCTGATCAGATCACAGTTTTATTAAATAGTGCAGTAGGTTCAAAGGGCCAAGTGGGCAATTCTTGTTCCTTGCTCTTAATCGCAAAATAATGTAATTTACAAGGTATTCAAGGAAATGGAGATGGTTGTGAAGATTTTCTCAGTAAGAAAAATTATCAAATGAAGAAAAGGAATGACATTTCCAATTCAAGACCCTTGGATGTTAATGAGCACATAAAAGTAAAAAAGGGAAGCATATGTGTATTTTTATTCATTGCTGGGATCTGAATATGGCTGGCAAAGTCAAAATGTACAGCCTCTCTCTGAATAATAGTTCAACACTACATAAAATGTACACAAATACAGATGGTGCAGAGTAAAATTATAAGGGAAGTTAGGGAAAAGGCAGTATCAAAATATGGATGGAAAATCAAGAAAATCCAGAGATATTTCATACATATAACAGGAGCACAGGGATAAGAGAGGAAAGAATAAGACGAATTAGAGACCAAATTCATGAAATACTCCTGATCCACTTAAGAAGCCAAATAGGGCTTGAGCTGGATATCTCACACAAAAGAGGGCCCTCTGACAGTGTGGCATTCTGTCAGCATGGAGTGAAACCAGACACCACAACTTCTGACTTTGAGGAAGAAGTGTTACCCAGTTAACCAAAGCTTACACAGCAGGAAAGGGGTGTCTGGATGGATGGAAAGAGGGAGGGGAGAAAGGTGTGAGGTGATGAGTGTGAAAAATACACAGATACTTGTTGATGATTTCCTGCTTTTGGAACAAAGGAGTTCTATGCCGAATGCCAGCCACAGCAGGATCTGTATATAAACAGCAAAAGTAGGCCATTCGATCCTTCAAGCCTGAACTGCCATTCAACAAGATTACAGATGATCTAATCACAATCAAAAGGCCATTTTCCTGCACAACACTATTACCTTGGAGATCAAAAGGCAAATGGAATGTTCACCTTTATCAAAGGGGACCAAGTATGTTAGGAGTGAAGTTTTGCTACAGCTGTAAAAGGCATTAATGAGACAATAAGTCCTTTGTATACTTTATGTAAGGAGGAACATGCATTGGAGACTGTTCACAGAAGTTTCACTAAACTGGGAGTGATCAATGACCGGCTGCCACTATTCTCTGGAGTACAGAATTTTATTGATATTAATAACCCTTTTTACCTTCATCTTAATATCAGACCTTTTATTTGAAAACTGTTTCCTATAGTTTAGATTCCCTTAATAGAGGAAATATCTTCTCAGCATCTACTCTGTCAAGCCCCTCAGAATGTTGAATGTTTCAATAAAATCACCTCTCATTCTTCTAAACTCCTTTAAGTAAATGGCCCAACATTCTCTAATAAGAAAATCCTATCATATCGGGAATTAGTTTAGCGAACTTTCTCTGAACTGCCTCCAATTCATTTCTATCCCTCACAGAGGCCAAATTATACAAAGGATTCTAGGTGTTGTCTCATCAATACCCTTTACAGTTGAAGCAAGATTTCTCTATTTCAAACTCCACTCTGTGCTGGTCCCCCACCTTGAAATAAAGGCCAACATACCATTAGCCTTCCTAATTATTTGCTGTATTTGCATACTAACTTTATGATTCATGCACAAAGATATCCATATTCTGCTCGCTGAGCCGTTTCGTCACCCTGCTAGGTAACATTGTCATTGCGCCTCCGGCAAAACGCTGGTGTTGCGTCCTGCTTGTTATTTATATGCAGGACACAACACCAACGCTTCACCGGAGGCGCACTGATGATGTTACCTCGCAGGGTGACAAAATGTCTGCATCAATCACACTGGCTCGGTGAGCAAGTCTACAACCTTATCCCCAACCTGAGTTACAAATCTTCTCAAAAACTTTAAGCATCCATACCCCTATATCACAGTAATTAAAAATCACAAGAGTGCAGTAAGGTACTTTGCAAGCGTTCAATACAGAAGCTTGAACATCTGTCATTTCTGTTTGGCAGTCTACATTTCTTGGGATAAAATTGCTTAATATCATACCTCAACTTCTCCTTCATCAAGCTCCCCATCGTCTTCATCCTTTTTTCTCTCACGAAATGAATCTTTTCTGTCTCTTTCAGACTTTCTCTCTTCAAGTTGACTTTTCTCCATTTCACCCTCCTTTGGAGAGTCACTACTTTTCTCTTCCGTGCTTTGTTTTTCACTGTCTTCTGTCACAGCCCCTGGCTGTTCTTCAGGGACCTCCTCATCGTAGTCCAGCTCATGTTCATCCAAGTCCCTGATGACAGAAGATGCTTCGTCCTTGGAATCATTTGCAGTCTCCTCATCAATTTGGGAATCCTGTTTCTCAGAAACAGCTTTATCAGTTTGCTCAGTATTGGAAGTTCTTTTTGGGCTTGCAACATTGTCGTGATCAAATCCTGCATCCAAGTCTTTAGATGGCTCCTCACTTCCACTTTCTTCACTGTAATCTCCTTCTTCTCTCAACTTTTCCTCCTCCTCTTCTGCCTCTGATTCATGGGTTTCCCCATTGTCCCGACTCCCCTCATTCTCAAGTTCACCAATACTATGATTCTCAGCATCACTGCAATGGTCGTTATCCTCAGAATCAATGCATTCTCCATCATTGTCTGAACGTTTGCTTATGTCCTCTTCATCATCGTTTTCATGCCCACCCTCAAGCAATAGATCATCTTCAGAGAGTTGGTCCTCAGGGGAATGAGGGTCACGATCAGGACTATCCGAGACATCCATTGGAGAACAATGTTATTCTGTTACAAGAGAAAAGTATGTGAATATATTTCACCCACAGGTGCTCCAGCATTTTCTCCACTATACTGTGCACACTTTGCATTTAAGCATATTATTGACACCAAGTCCAGTCACAAAGTTCCTCAGGTCAATATAGTCAATAATACTAAAATTTTGCCAAAGGTCCGTCTATGTTCGACCAAGTCAAAACACATGTATTACACAGAAAGTGGAACCCAGCAGAAATCTTTAAATGAAGTTTTTGATTTTGAATTAAAAACCTGCAACATCTGATTAGAAGTGTCAAGACTAAACTAAAAAGAACACAGCAAACGACAACAAACCAGGAAACACACCCCAGCAGACATTTTAAGCTTAGCCAGCTAGTAACAAGGTGGGTCAAAGAACAAGCAACTTAAAGAACAAGAAGCATGTGAATTAATTTCAAGAATAGGAGGGGATCAGCAGAATTGGAAACAGGGAGGCAGAAGTTTTGGTGTATTATTCTTTTATGATCAACCTTTGAGCGAGACCTGGGAGACAAATTTCAGAAGTGCTGCCAGAAAAGTGGGGGTTGTGGTGATTAGAAATTCCCTAGGTCACATGAAATTCTGCAGTGAGGAGCCCAATTGCTGCTACTGAGGCCAAAGGGAGTTGTAAAAAAGACAAATCTTGCTTCATTTGTATAGCATCTTGGTTAGACTGTACATGGAGTACTGCACACAAACTATTTTGGTCTCCTTATCTCAGGGCAAATATTATTGCTATAGAGGGGGTGGAATGAAGGCGGCAGGCAGTCCTATGAAGACAGATTAGCCTGTATTCTCTAGTTTTTTAAGAAAACTACAAAATCCTTAAGGTGATAAACAGGGTAAATGTAGGTGAGATGTTTACCCAGGTTGGGGAGTCTAGAACAAGTGGGCACAATTTAAAAGTAAGGCGATGCCACTCAGGTTGGAGACAAGAAGTTCTTGTACTAGACTATAAAACCACAAGATAAAGCAGAGAATAAGACTACATGGCCCAGCTAGTCCGCTCTATCATTCAATCATGCCTGATATGTTTCACAACTCCATTCTCCTGCCTTCTCCCCATAACCTTTGTTCCTCCTTCTAATCAAAAATCTTTCTGTGTTTAAGATACTCAATAACATGGCCGCCACAGCCTTCTGTGGCATGGAGTTCCACAGATTCACTGCCCTCTGGATGAAGAAATTCCTCATGTTATGGCACGGTGGTTAGCACTGCTGCCTCACAGTGCTAGGGACCTGGGTTGGCATTCCACCCTCAGGCGACTGTCTGTATGGAGTTTGCACATTCTCCCCGTGTCTTGTGGGTTTCCTCCAGGTACTCCAGTTCCTTCCCACAGTCCAAAGATGTGCAGGCTAGGTGGATTGGCCATGCTAAATTGCCCATAGTGTTCAAGGATGTGTAAATTAGGTGGGTTATAGGGGAACGGGTTTCGATGGGTGCTCCGAGGGTTGGTGTGGCCTTGTTGGGCCAAAGAGTCTGTTTCCACACTGTAGGGATTCTATGATTCTACAATCTATGATTATGGTTGTCCCTTCACTTTGTGCTCCTGGCTCCTAGTCTCTCCTACTAGTGGAAACATCTTCTCCATATTCACGCTATCCAACCCTCTCAAGTATTATGTAAGTTTCCATGAAATCTCTTCTTATTCTTCTAAATTCCATCAAGCACAGAGCCAGAGTCCTTAACCACACCTCATTTGAAAAGGGATAGTAGGAACTGCAGATGCTGGAGAATCTGAGATAACAAGGTGTAGAGCTGGATGAACACAGCAGGCCAAGCAGCATCAGAGGAGCAGGAAAGCTGACGTTTCTTCAGAAAAAAAAAAGGGTCTAGGCCCGAAACATCAGCTTTCCTGCTCCTCTGATGCTGCTTGGCTTGCCGTGTTCATCCAGCTCTACACCTTGTTATTTCATGTGAAAAGCCTTCATTCTCAGGATCATTCTTGTGAACCACCCCTGGACCCCCAAGATCAGTGCATCCATCTTTAAGATACGGACCCCAAAATTGCTCACAATGTTACTCCAAGGATTGTGAACACTTGGAATTCAACCTTTGGCTGTGAAACCTCTACATCTGAACACGTTTAAGATAGAGACTGCTAAATTTCGATCAATGCTTACCAGCGGCATACAGGGTTATGTGGATGGGCTGGGCAAAAGGTATTGAAGTGCTCAATCAGCCATGATTATATTAAATGGTGGGACATGCTTGACTGACTGAATGACTTACTTCAGTTTCTATGCTCCTAACTCAAGAAACCAATGATGCATCTAGATAAAGCCTGAATGGCAGGTTGGTGCTGTACGAAAACAAAGGGAAAAAAACAAGAGAACAAAGCCAAAATCAGCCATGAGAAAGGAAAAAATAGAGCAGATGTTACTTTATGAAATTGCTGAATTCAACATTGCGTTTGGAAAACTGTAAAGTGCCTAATCAAAAGATGAATGCTCAAGCTTATGTTGAGCTTTCTTGGAACAATACAGGAGCTGAAGGCAAAAATGATGAGCGAGAGAGCAAATTAGAGAATTAAAATGTCAAGCAACCAGAAGCTTGAGTCAATTCTTGTGAATTTACCAGAGGTGTTCCACAATGTTTTCACTAAACCTGCATTTGGTCTCCATAATGTAGAGAAAACCACACTGAGCAGGGAAGACAGACACATGAAATTGAGTATACAAATTGTTGTTTCACGTGGAAAAAGTATTGAGGCCTAGGCAGTGAGGAGGGAGGAAGTAAAAAGATGGTGTTGCATTATCTCTGATTGTAAAGAAACGTGCTATGAAAAGGGGAGGTTGGTGTTTAAAGAGCAGTCCAGGGTATTGGAGAAGGAACAAAGCCTTTGGGACAATGAAAGGGGAGGGGAATTTGAGTTTTGAGGTTATGCCATGCTAGGGGAGGCAGATATAGCAGAGGCAGCTAAATAGAGAAGCTATAGGTGAACGAGGCAAACCCTATCATGGTTCTAGGAGGGAAGGGTTAGAATAGAAGCACAGGAATGGAGACACAGTCAAGGGCCCTGTCAATCACAGTAAGGCAGTTCTCCATTGAGGGAAAAGGAAAGTATTACAAGCGTCAATCCAGAAGGTTGCATCATTGGAACGATGTGACAGAGAATGGAGGAAACAGTGCCGAGTCCAGATCTGGGGAGTGAAATTGGACAAGTGGGGTATGTTTCTGTGGGAAAGTAATGTAGGAGAGCAATTACAAAGGACAAAGCGAGGGAGGAAACTCAGCTCAGGTATAGAACGTAGAACATAGAACAGTACAGCACAATACAGGCCCTTCGGCCCACGATGTTGTGCCGAACTTTTACCCTAAACCTAAGGTCTATCTAACCTCCACCCCTACCTTATATTATCATCCATATGCCTATCTAATAGCCGCTTAAATAATCCTAATGAGGCCAACTCCACTACCCTCTCCGGCAATGCATTCCACGCCCCTACCACTCCGTGAGTAAAGAACCTACCTCTGACGTCTCCCCTATATCTACCTCCACTCACTTTAAAACTATGCCCCCTCATAATAATAGCTACCTCCATCCTAGGAAAAAGTCTCTGGCTGTCCACTCTATCTATACCTCTGATCATTTTGTACACCTCTATCAAGTCACCTCTCATCCTTCATCGTTCTAGAGAAAAGCCCTAGCTCTCTCAACCTTTCTTCATAAGACCTTTCCTCCATTCCAGGCAACATCCTGGTAAATCTCCTCTGCACCTTTTCCAACGCTTCCACATCTTTCCTGTATAGAGGCGACCAGAACTGGACACAATGCTCCAGATGAGGCCGAACCAGGCTTTTGTATAGCTGGAGCATAACTTTACGGCTCTTGAACTCAATCCCTCTATTAATGAAAGCTAACACACCAGTATGAACAGGCTGTCCAGAAGAAATTGTTGGAATGGTGGAGAGAAACAAGATTGAATCAGTGAAAGTAATGAATTTAGTGCTGGGAGCTAAAGACAGTGGCTTTTGTTCACCAGGCTTAACAAATTGAAAATGTAGGTCATCCAAAAATGATGTAGTAGAGCTTAATGTTACACTTATTTAAATGGAATCTGACCCTATGTTTGCAAATGAGCTTGACAAGGTTCAGCTTGAACATGTGGAAAACAAGATAGCCACTAATCCTTCCAGAAGTCTCAAGATGATGATGCAGGGATGAGGAGCGACACTACCGTAATACATTGTTGAATTAATATATTAAGGGTAGAACTGAGCTAGAGTCATCCCAAGTTAGATGACAGAAGGAAGGCAATGGAGAAGAATGGTATAGTCATAGGACTTTAAATTTCTGAAAATGTCCACTGTCTCTCTGCCTTCTAACAATCTGATACAAGTCATAATTAATAAAAGATGCTTAAATCACAGAAATCAGTCTCCATCAGTCTACACCAGATCTAGAAATTACGAGGAAAATTCTAGGGATGGATTGCTTTGGGAATCATATGATAAAAATCAACCTTCTCATCTCAAACGCCATGTTCAACACGTCTCTAATTACCCATGTGCTGTATCCTGAAGTTATGCAACTCACTAATAGTACTGTGGGAGCAACTTCACTGCAAAGATTGCAGAAACTCAAGAAAGCTCACTGCCTGCAAAGAAAACTAGAGATGAACAATAAATCCCAGCATTGCTAGTAATGTTCATATTGCAAGAATGAATTCCTAAGGTGTTATTGTTTGAAATAAATTATCCAATTTATATTTCAATAAACGTTTTGCTTCTATAGTGCCCCTAGGGATTGATTTATAGATTGAACAACTATTTACTCATATAACATCTTGCAGATTAATTGAAAATATACCTCTTTCAAAATATCTCATATCTAAAAATAACAAATCAACATGGATTGAAAAAGGAAAAGTCAGGATGGACCAAATTCATTGAATTCTTTTAAGTTACAAAAAGTGTAGACAACAGAAATGCAACAGATGTAATGTATCTGGAGTTTCAAAAGACTTTGACAGGTATCACATAATACA